CTTCAAAGCTTCGAAGCTTCGAAGGTACCTTAAACTTCGAAAGGTCGAAGTTAACTTCGAAGCTTCGAATTCTTTCGAAGCTTCGAATATTCGAAGTAGGTGAAAAGTAACAGCCCTAATATATATATATGAACCATGTGTAAAATAACTAAAATTATTTAATAATATTTACATATTTAAAAAAAAGAAATAATTTTTATTTTTAATATCTAATGTATATAAAAAAATATTAAAAAATTTTAAAATAATTTTCTAAAAATACTTTAAGAAATTATTACATTTTATTTTACTATTTACTATTGGGTCGCAATTGCTGGATCATTACGTTTGCGACATTGCAATAAGATTAATGTAAAACAAGCTTAAAATAAAATATAGTAATAATTACTTAAAATATTTTTATTATTAATATTAGATAATTATCGCGAATTCTAATGTAGAATCAACTTTATATATAGTATATCATTATTTACTATTATTTTATTTAATAGACATTAATATATATAAAATCATTATATTATAAAATTAAAAATATCTTATATAATAGAAATTATTTCTAAATTTCTCGATTTGTTACAGATATGTATATTATGAATGATATTTTTTCTTATTTATTCTAAGTCATACACAAGAGCATAGTTAAAAAACTAAAAAAATATACTAATATAATATAATATAATATAATATATATTTTTTTATTTTTATTAAATTAAATTCTTTTTTTAAGCAGTGAAATCAATTAGAATCATTAGAATAATTAATATCGTAAAAAGAAATTAAAAAGAGATTATACATCGATAACAAGTAGCAAATTACATGACAGAAAAATCAAAGATGAGAAGAAATCTCTAGCAGCAGCATACTTAGCGCGCCCGTTTAATATACACATAACTCATGGAAATAATACATGCAATTCATGCTAACAATACATTATTTATTCAACATAATATTATTATCATTCAGTTTATAACATTATTGTTACAAAAAGTTAATAAGTATAAGAATTTATAAGGCAAACTTATTATTAGTATATTTAAGTCAATTTCAACTACTTATACCAACGAGTCAAGCATATAACGTGCGGCTTTGGCAATAAAAATATATAAAAACGGGCGCGCCAAGTATGCTGCTGTTGGAGATTTCTTCCTATCTTTGATTTTTTTGTCACGTAATTTGCTACTTATTATCGATTTTATTTTTTTAATTTGATACAATTTTTCGAGGTAAAAACATTCAAAAAATACTTGGTGGTCTTTTTTACATTTTTAATTTCTTTTCCACGGATTAATTAACACGTAATCCATAACTGATTCACCTCTTCCCCCGGTATACGTCCAATTACCTACCTTGTCTCCTTTTAGTCCTACATTCAAAATTGTTTCTCCCTTCTCTCTAATGCGTTCTATCAATTTTTCCCTTGCTTGTTAATTTTTTTTTCTTTCAATTTTCTATCCTCTTCCTCTTCAACTCGCTCCTTCATATTTATCACTCTTTTATTTCCCATCCTGATGTCGAAATTCCCTCCTATTATCGTATTCGTACCTTCCGAACTGCCCTCCATCCAATCCCTTAACTCCTCCATCTTTCCCTCCATACCACCGTTTACATACACATCAATTATCCTTATATTCTTATTCCCATATTCGAATTTTCCTGATGACAGTCCTTCTAACTCTGGGGAAGTTCCTTCCCCTCTTCCTTTTCCCGCACCATCTTCTTTCTTATTCTCATCAACATACCCCCTATCGCTCTTCCCTTTCTATTCTTCTTCTTTGTCCATTGCATCTTCCACATGCATCTCTTTGGCACCTTTCTTTTT